CTCAGCTAAGTCAACAGAGGTGTCTCATTGTGGCTCTGCAGACCTGGGGCCAGAAGGACACTCAGCTCCCTCCACAGCCCCCATGGGGTGGGATTCCTCCCGCCCCAGTTCAGGGGGCCCAAAACAGGCACCTGCAGGTGATTCCTGTTGGGGCAGATTACACTGCAGAGATAAGAAATTATCTTAGCCAGAAACCATGGAATTGAAACACAGACAAGGAAAGCTTGTTTACATATACCACCTAATATTTTTATACTATCTTTTAATTAAGCAGACTTGCTGTCTCCACGAAAATCCTTTTACCACCTTGTTTACCCCATCTCCTGTTGTAATTGTGATAAAGAAATAGCTGTTTATCTGTTTGAAGAAAAATATCTCCCTGCACTTCCTGGACCCTCAACCTCAAATGTGAATACAATGTATGTCCCCCCTTCCCTGAACCCTATATATAGCTAGAGTTGTGTCAAATTCAGCTTTGTACCCACAAAGTGGATCGTGCAATTATTTAAACCATCTTAGACTCCTTGTCCCAGTTCCCATGGGAATGAATGAAGACCAAAGCCAGGAGTGACCTGCTGGGACACAAAGCCCTGGTCACTTCTGAGGGGCCAGAGGTGACCGAGATTCCTGCTGGGAACTGCAGGCTCCAATGGAGCAGTTCCTAGGCACAGGGCAGCAGCTGTGGGATCTTCTTGGAGGCTGCTGGGACATTGCTTTGGCCAACTTCAGTGGCAGAAGGGGCCCACATGTAGGACAGGGGAACCTGTCACTGTTCCTCCTGTCCAGGGCAGCCCACAGAGGTGCTCAGCTGACCAAATGCAGGGAGGGAGGCCTCTCTCCTGTTCTTTATCAGGGTATTTTCTACACATCCTTAGAGTACAATGGCAGTTGTCTCCTGGACATCCCTTCCTTGCTGAACATAATTCAGGGCAGCTGAACCTGAATTTAGTACCCAAAGAGGGGCCTGTAGTGCCAGGGGAGGTGCCAGGGCTCTGCAGCACAAGTGCAGCAGCTGCCATGGACAGCACAGGGCCTGTGCAGGGACCCCATCCCCATTCCCAGCAGTTGTGTGACAGGCACCACCCAGGGCTCCTCAGACACATTGGGGGCCTTTGGGGCAGGGAGTGAATCCCAGCCCTGCAGGGACATAAGGTCTGGCCCTTCTCTATCCAGCTGGTGCTGGGCAGTTCCTGAATACAAAGCACATCCCAGCAGGGTCTCCACTCCTGTGCATTCCCTTTTTGTGTGGTTTAACCCCAGTGAGCAGCCAAGTGCCACAGAACTCACTCAGTCCCCCGACCTCCCCCTGCACTGATGTGGGGAGGAGAGTCAAGGAAAGACAAAACCCGTGGGTTGAGATAAGAAAAATGTAATAACTGAAACAAAGTAAAGTATGAAAATAATAATAAGTGTAGTAACTGTAATAATAACTGTATTGAAAAGGGAGACAAAAGAAAGAGAGGAATAAAACCCCAGAGGAACAAGTGATGCTCAGCATGGTTGCTCACACACACTGCCCAGTGCCCCACACCCCAAGCAGTGATCTGCCCCTCCTGCACAACCTCTCCTCATGTATCCACTGGGAATGATGTTCTGTGGTGTGGAATATCCCTTTGGAATGTCCAGGTCGGCTGTCCTGGCCCTGCTCCCTCCCAGGTTCTTGTGCACCCGGCAGAGCACGGGAAACTGGAAAGTCCTTGATTAGGGTAAGCACAACCAAACCATCAGTGTGTGATCAACATTGTTCTCCCATGGAACCCAAACCACAGCCCTGCACCAGGTATTAGGAAGAAAATTAACTCTCTAGTTAGGAAGAAAATTAACTCTATCTCAGAATTAATCTGTAGTTAATCTATAGGAAGATTAACCCTATCTCCTAGGAAGAACAGCCAAGACAAGGTTGGTGTCCACCCCTTATTCCACACCATTTACACCATGTCAGATCCCACACTTTCCAATACATTCCACCATCACCTTTCCTATCATTTGATATAAACCCACAGATCTCATTGCTTAGTCTATGAAAGTCTATTGAGTTCATTTAGTCCAGGATTTTAGGCTCCATCTGCCAAAATACTCTTTCAGGGCAGGAAAAATGCTGTCTACTGTGAGATTGTTGCCTGTTGCAGCCAGTTCTTGTTCCATCACCGCTGTGCTTGTCTGGTTTCCTCCAAGCTCATTGTTCATTTCTCTCAGTGGTTTTCACTGTAATACCCCTGACACGGCAAAGAGTGGCCACAGCAGTGAGAATGCAGTGTTAGAGAGTTACCACCGTAACACAACTGAATTCCTTGGCTATTCTCACCCAAAATCCAGTCCCTTCGAGGCACACACTGGATTTCTCATCTTTCCCTCCTTCCCCACCAAGTGCCTCCATGTCCTTGAGACACGTGAATCCCACGGGTGCACTTCCCTTTGCCTGAAGCAGGAATAACCCAGACTGTCTTCTCAGCATGTTTTTAATGTGCACTACAGGAACTTTATCCCTTTCCATGGCACGTAAAAACTTGGATTGGACAGGGCCAGCCCAATTGGCACATCCCCCAGTGCTGAGTGACCAGGTGGCCTTTGCTAAATGTGCATCCCAATGTTGGCAGGTCACAGCACCCACTGCATCATTCCATCTTTCCCAAGGCTGGTGCATGGCAGGTGTACTGGTTTTAGCACCATCAGGAAATTAAAATTCAGATAAGTCAGAGGGGCCCTCACCAGTACCTTGTCCCTCTAAGTTTTTCATGTTATCCCACAGATTTCCCAGAACAAGCCTGATCTTGTGCCCCTCCCCCATCATGTCCAGTGTAGAGCCCTGTGACTCTGTGGGGGCTCATGGAACCAAAGGGACCCTGGGACACTGTGGGGGCTCATGGAACCAAAGGGACCCTGGGACACTGTGGGGGCTCATGGAACCCAAGGGACCCTGGGACACTGTCAGGAGCCTCGTGGTGCCCAGGGCTGAGGAATCCCGTGGGTGCAGGTGGCTCAGGGAGCAGCTGCAGTTGGAGCTGTGGGATGAGCTCTGGGTGAGGGGCCTCAGCCCAAAGGCCGTGAGCTGCTGACCCTGGAGCAGCCAAGGGAGAGGACACTTGGAGACAGGGCAGGAGCCCGGGACTCAACAGGAAGAGCAGTTTGTGTGCTTGGAGTGTGAGGAGATAAAACCCCAAGGAATTTTTTGTTGTCGGTCCTTCCTCGAGGCACCAACTCAGGCTGTTTCTGTGTTTCTTCTCCAGGAATGAAATGTTTTATTGTTTCTAAGACATGAGACTCTGCCATGGGAAACCTGGGGTGGAAGCAGTGAGGAAACCTAGTCTGACTGTGAGAGTGGGGGGTGTGGGGAGTCACAGGGGATCCGTCGGGTCACTGGAGCTGCTGCTGCTGAGAAGGGGCCTGAGTGTCAGCAGTGCCAGTCTGGGCTGGCGGGAGAGTGACTGCCAGGGAGTGTTGGGAATGGTGAGCCTGGGAAGTTCCCTTAAGAGTGTGAGGGGGATCTCGTGTGCAGAGACCCCCAGGAGCCCCCTGAGCCGCTCTGCTCATGGCAAGGATGCAGAGAAGGCAGAGTTACTGAACACCTTTGCACTGACAAGATCAGCCCTCAGGGATCTCTGGCCTGGGAGACCAGGATATAGGAATGTTGGAAGGAAGATCTTGCCTTGCTCATGGAAGATTGGGTCAGAGAACACCTCCAAAAACTCTACCCCCACAAGTCCGTGGGACACTTGATGACCTCCTGTCACCAAGGGGACCCTGTGACACTGTGGGACCTCGTGGTTATCAGTCTCTTCCAAACGTTGTGTGCAACAACAGAGAGGCAAAACAGTGGAGCCTGAGTGTGTTGATCCAAACTATTCCCATCTCACCTGAAGATGTCCCTGCTAACAGAGGTCCTGTGTGTTCCCTCTGCTCTCTGGGCACTTGCATCCTTTGAGAGCTGCCCATCACTCTGGTAGCCAAGAGCACAGGGCGGGGGATCCCCTGGAGGGGGAGCAGAGACATCTTTCCTAGATCACCTTGCTCAGAGCCCCATCCAACCTGGCCTTGAATGTTTGCAGGGATGGGGTATCCACCACCTCCCTGCAAATGTGTTCCTGTGTTTCAGCATTCTCACTAGAAAATAGTTCTTCCTTATCTCTAGTCTGAACTTACCCTCTTTTAGTTTAACTCCCTTACTCCCTGTCCTACTGTGACAGGCCCTACTGAACTCTTTGCCCACATGTTTCTAAACAGCTGCCTTGAAGTACTGGAAGGCCCCAAGGAGGTCTCCCCACAGCCTTTTCTTCTGCAGGCTGAAGAGCCCCCACTCTCTCAGCCTGTCTCCATGCGAGAGGTGCTGCAGCCCTGGGATCCCCTTGGTGGCCTCCTCTGGAAGTGCCCCAAGAGGTGCGTGTCTTTGCTGTGCTGAGGAGCCCATGGAGCTGCAGGAGATGCCAGGGCTGGCAGGGGAATCCCCCCAAGCCATTGTCATTGAGGGCGGGTGCGTTGCAGACAGCCAGAGGAGCCCAGAGCTGGAGGCAGCACTGCAGGAGGGGTCTCAGCTGAGCGGAGCAGAGGGGCAGAACCCCCCTGCCCTGCTGCCCACGCTGTGGGATGAGCCCAGGACACGGGGGGTTGTGGGCTGTGAGCTCCCATTGCTGGCTCCCATCCTGCTTTTCATCCCCCACTATCCCCATGGCCTTGGATGCAGGGCTGCTCTCCATCCCTTCAGCCCCGAGCCTGGCCCTTGGGATCTGGGGGCATTTGACACCCGCTGGCTCCTTTGATCCCCCTTCCCACCCCTCCCAGAGCCCAGGGAAGGACTGAGGGGCCTTGGCTGATTGTCCCTGACCCTCCCCTGCCCCGACACCAAGCTGTGCTCCTTGGGGACGGTGCTTGGACAGCCCCAGTCAGACCCTGTTTCCTGCTGTGCCCCCAAGCCACCGGGTGCCCCAGAGGACGTGGGAACACACATGGACACGGGAAGGCACCCATGGATGTGGGAACACACCCACCCAGACAGACACAGAGCATTTGTTTTGCTGCAGGGGTTTATTGATTCTTGCAGGGAAATTGCCAGGGCACCCAGGGGATCAGGGGGGTCCTCCAGGGATGATCATCTCCTCATGCCGCTGGAGGGGGACAGGACACGGGTGTCACCACCACTTCCAGTCCTGAAAGACAGAGTCCCAAAGGTCACCCCTGGTGTCCACAGGGACATGGCAGGGGTCTTGTCCCCACCCCGTCTGTCTGCAGGGAGCTGGGGCAGGAGAAGGGAATTGGATGCTGAGATCCATATGGCCCCAGAGCCCCTGAGCCCGGGATGCTCTGACACCTCCCCGAGCCCCTCCCTGCCCTCCCGGTGAGCCTGGGGGTCTGCAGAGCCCCCAGTGCAAGGCAAGGCTTGGGGGCAGCTCTGTCCAGCTGCCCCAGGACACAGAGCAGGGGCAGCCCCCTCTGTGTCCCTCTGCTGTCCCCAAGCTCTGCCCACTGCAGAGGGCTCAGGGACCCCCCAGGGCCCTGCCAGGCTCCTTTGGGGGGCTGAGGAGCCTCCCATATTTCTCACCTGGACATGCAGAGAGGCAGCCGAGCATCACTGGCGCATCAGCTCCACCAGGTCAACTATGGGGGACTGGGGACAAAGGCAGGGTTAGAGACACACTGGGGTGGACTGGGGCACACTGGGATGTACCGGGGCACACTGGGGTGGACTGGGGCACACTGGGATGGACTGGGGCACACTGGGATGTCGGGGAGGGTCGTGGCCATGAGAGGGGAGGGTCTGGGCCCAGCAGAACTCAGGGTACCCACCTCAGACCTCTTCACTCGATGGACATCCATGCCTCCCTGGAGAGAGAGCGGGAGGTGTCACTGGTCACTGGGGTGTCCCCAGGCCCAGGAAGGATGGGGGGACTACATTTCCCCCCATTTCCCATGCTAGGGGCATCCCAACTCCAGGACTTACCCCGACACATCCACCTCCTCCTTGTCCCGAGATTGGCTGGGGAAGGAGAGCAAAGGTTTAAGCAGGATTGGCCCCTGTGGGGCTGGGGGAGGGACACGGGTGTCCCCAGACCCCCCAGCCCATGGTTGGCCCCTGGTCTGAGGGGGAAAATCCCTTCTGCTCCCCAAGCCCCAGGGCACCCAGTTTCCCCCAGGATCCCTGTTCCTGCAGGGCCCAGGGTGGGGATGGAGACCAGGAGAGCCAGGGGAATTCAGGGCCTGCAGGGAGGGTGGGAGCAAGGAGGAGGGGACCCAAAGAGGGTGAAGTGGGGGGAATTGGGGATCCCACAGGATGGGCACTGGGGTTTGGAAGGGATGGGACTGTGAGGGATGCGGGTGAGGAGAAAGGGATTGCAGTGGAGGGTACCCAGGGAATGAAGCAGGGCAGGGGTGGGGACAGGAGAAATGGGGAAGGGGAGAAAACTGGAAGGGACTGGGAGGGAGTTTGGGACTGAGGGGTCAAGGAAGGGGATTTCTGTACACGAGTGTCATGGACAATAGGAAAGGGGAAGGATTAGAGGAGAAAGAGGGGAAGAAATGGTGTGGGAATGATGGCCTGTGTGTGGGTGGTGGGGTGGACTGGGGTGTGTGGGAATAGAGTGGGGACCCTGAGGAAGGGCCTCCCCGGTGCACACTGGGGTGGACTGGGGAGCACTGGGATGGCCTGGAGGGTGGTGGCCACCAGAGGGGAGGGTCTGGGCCCAGCACAAGCCCTGGTACCCACCGGGCCGCCGATGATGCCTGCCTGTAGAGAGACAAGGAGACGTCACTGGTCACTGGGGTGTTCCCAGTGCCAGGAAGGGATGGGGAGCCCAAAGTGCCCCCCACTTCCCACACTGGGTGCCCCCCAAATCCCAGAATTACCTCCCCACATTGGACGCTGTCGACCTCAATGGGCTGCAGGAGGAGAGCAAAGGCTTGGTTGGGGTTGGTCTTGTGGGGCTGGGGGGGACACGGGTGTCCCCACCCCCTCCAGCCCCGGCTGCACCCCGGGCTGAGCGGGGCTCTTTGGGATTGCGGCTCCCAGGCAAGTTGGGGACACCAGTGCAGGGGGAAAGGCAAGGCATTGAGGGCAAAGCCTGGAGGAAAGGCCCTGGGAAGGGGCCATGGCAGGGCATTTCCCAGTTGGTGCCAGTTCAACCTCGCCAGGCCTTGTCCCACTTGAGCCCAGGGTGGAGCTTGGGCCTGTTTGTCCTCCTTGGACTCCAGTGGGGCTTGGCCCAGTTCCACCCAGTTTGGGTTGGGCCTTTGCCTTGGCTGGGAAAGAGAGGAGATGGTGGGGAGATGCCCCAGGGGACCAAGAGGATGGGATGGGGAGGCCCAAAAAGGTGGGATTTGGGGTCAGAAAGAGCAGGAAGCGTTGGGACTGTGCCAGGACGGAGCCGGGTGCAAGCATCCCGTGAGGAAGCGGAGCTGCAGCAGCAGGAGTTGAATTGTGGGAAGGGGAAGGAGAGAGGGAATTGTGGCTGGAAGAAAGTGGCCTGGCCCGGGACTGGGGGTGCTGGGGAGTGCTGGGGGATCCCCTGGATTGGGAAGGGGCCCATCCCTGAGCCCATGGCCGTGGCATGGGGGCCTCACCTTGGCATCTGCCGGGGGGCTCAGCAGGATGGTGAAGAGCAGGGCCACGCTGAGCACAGCGACCTTCATCTTCCTCTGGGCCTGGGCAGCGCTGGCTGAGGCTGCACAAGGGCAGGAGCACATTTATCCCTGCCGGGACTCCTCCCTGCCCCCTCCCCGAGAGCCCCCGGGGCAAAGCCCGGCTGGGCACAGCCCCCAGCCCTGGCCACAAGCCCAGCCCTGGCACAGAGTCCATCCCGCCTGCGGCACCCATCCAGCCACCTTCCCCGGCATCCCTCCAGCTTCCTGCACGGGGCAGCTGCCCCTGGAAGGGCCCAGGCCCCTGGGGGTGCCGAGGGGGTGGGCAGGGAGCTGAAAGCAGCTGCATACCCTGTGGGGACAATCCCACACAACACAATCCATCCTCCAACGGCCCCCAAAGCCTGATCCACTCATGTCCTCCTGCCCATCCCTTCCCAGAGCTTTCCCTCTGGGACACCCCAGAGCTCAGCCCAGCCCCAAACCCGGCGTGTCTGAGCACAATTGTCCCTGTTCCCACTTCAGCCCCTTGGCTGAACGCGGGGCTGGCACTGACCCCCTTCTTGGGGCACCAGGAGCCCGGGATCAGGGAAACAGGGAGCTGGGAGATAAAGGGGCTGACGGGCAATGGGCACAGGCGGGTGACTGGGATCTCCAGTCTGGGCAGGCACTGGGGAGCACTGGGCAATGCTGGCCCTGGCACACAAGGGCTGGGCCCAGGGAAGTGCTGGGGTGGTGGCAGTGCCCGGCTCCAGCCCATTTGCGGGCACTGCAGCCCCCAAGTGGTGCAGGCCCAGCCACGGCCTCCCCGAGCAGAGCCCAGAGGGGCAGATGCCCTTTGCTGGCCCTGCCCCTGTCCCAGCTGGGCACACCGTGTCCTCCCGCATCAGCCGGGCCCCGCTCTGCTCAGTTGGCCCAGGCAGGGGGGGCCAGGCACTGGCAGCCCAGCAGGGCTCTGGCTCCACACTGGGCTGGCCCTGGCACACAGCTGCCCCAGTGCCCCTGTCCCCAGGGATGGCCCTGCCCTGCCCTGGGCCCAGCTCTGGCCCTCAGCAGGATGGCACCTTCCCGCCCCACTCTCCCTCCCTCCCCACCTGCCTCACAGGCCCCTCTGGGCTGGGACCCCCGTGGGCACAGATCAAGGACAGGCACTGAGCGGGGGCTCCCGCCACCTGCCACAGCCTCAATTCTCCACTCCCCTTTGGCCACAGTTCCGCAACACCTTCCATCCTTACGGGCCCCTGACCAGACACAAGAGACCATTGTGGGGCAGCTGGGAAAACATCTCAGCTCAATGACTTGACTGTTTGCCTTGCATTTTCCCCAGGAGCCGGCAGTGACCTGGAAGATTTTCCTTTTGCCCCTTTCTGCTTCGTGCCTCGTTTGTTGGATAATTGAGGAACATTGACTGAGGAGGGGCCCAGGGGAGGTGAAGCCGCTCAAGAGGGAGGCATTTACAGTCCCTCAACACCAAAGGTCGCACTCTGGACCATCCAAATTGTGGGATCAGCAGCTCATTGGAAGAGGGAAATGTCCCCAGTTTGGTGTTTGAGAGAGAGGTGGATGAGAGACATGACCAGGATGCCTGAGGTGCAGCTGATTCCCCCTGGACTGTCTCCTTCCTTCCCCCTGAGCAGGGCTGGGAGCACCTGGGAAATTCCTCTTGTTCCTGCAGTCCCTTCAGTGGGATTTTTCCCACCCTCTGGATCCAAATGGGTTTTGGCCTGGCCGTTCTCCTCAGGCCGTGACCCACAGAGAGGTGTTGTGGTGACTCCCAGAGGGAAAGGGGAGGAGAAAAGGGGGCCCTGTTCTCCCCATATTTACGTCTCCCTTCCCAATTTCCTGGTGCCCTCGGCTTCCCAGAGTCCCTCAGTAGCTGCACGAGGGGGGGGCAGGACCAGACTCAGCAGGAGGTGTCTGTCCTGTTGTCCTGGTTTTGACTGGGATAATGGACTGGTTTACAGTCACTGCCCACAACAGGGACTTGCCTTGTCTCAGCACAGAATCCTGGAATCATGGACTGGTTTAGGTGGGAAGGGACCTTAACTCATCCCGTGCCACCATGTCCCTGCCATGGGCAAGGACACCTTCCACTAGCTCAGGTTGCTCCAAGCCCCATCCATTATGGCCTTGGACACTTCCAGGGATGGGGTAGCCAGAGCTTCTCAGGGCAACCTGTGCCAGGGCCTCCCCCCTCACAGGGAAAACTTTCTTCCCAATATCCCCCTAAGCCTGCCCTCTGTCAGTGGGAAGCCATTGCCCCTTCTCCCATCACTACAGCTCCTTGGCCAAAATCCCTCTGCAGCTCTCTGGGAGCCCCTCGAGGCACTGGAAGGGGCTCTAAGGCCTCTCTGGAGCCTTCTCTTCTCCAGGCTGAACAATCCCAATTGTCCCAGCCTGTCCCCAGAGCAGAGGGGCTCCAGCCCTCCGAGCATCTTTGTGGCCTCCTCTGGATCCACTCCAACAGGTCCATTCCTCCTGATCTGGGCCCCCCGAGCTGGAGGCAGCACTGCAGGTGGGGTCTCACCTGAGGGCAGCAGAGGGGCACATTCCCCTTCTCCCCTGCCCCCAGGATGAGCCCCACACACGGGGGGTTTCCGGGCTGGCTCGTGTCCCATTTGTCACCCACCAGCACCCCCAGAGCCCTCTCCCAGCAGGGACTTCCATCCCTTCCTCCCCCAGCCTGCACCGATCCCGGGGGTTGCCCTGACCCGGCTGCACCACCTTGGTCTTGTCCAACCTCAGCAGATTCCTGTGTGTGCCAGGAAACGGGGGGAAGGGGAATTCACCCGACTCTTGGAGATTTGTTTGTCTGCTGGTGCCTCAGGGAAAAACAAAACCCTGTCAGTCCCATCTAGTCTGTCCCATATTCCACCCAGGAACCCTCCACCAAACAGATCCACCCGGTGGGGGGAATTCCAGGGCCCTTTTTCGGGGACTGACACGTCACAGCAAAAGGGAAACCCCTCAGTGGATATTTCCACCAGTTACTCCAGCATCAACAAAACTGGCAGCACCTTTATAAATGACTCCCTCCAACAGTCTGCAGAATAACACTCTTTATTAATACAAATTGGCACAGGTTAAAGGTTCATGGTGGTCAGGGACAGGGTCTGGCTGCAAAAACACACTTCAAACGCTGTCAAAATTGTTGTTAAAGCAAAGCACAAACTCCAAACCAATCCACAGGCGACACCTGTTCCCTGCTGGCTGAGGGTGCCCAGTGCTCCCAGTTCCTCCCAGTCCTTCCCAATCAATCTCTTATCACAGTAACCCCCTCCCAGTCCCTCCTAGTCCCCCCCAGTGCTCCCAGTGACCCCGTTATCCCCTCCCAGCTGATGTGTCTCCACTTGGTCACCGCTCTGGCCGTGGTTGCCGGCGCCACCTGTTCCCTGCTCTCAGTCCCACCAGTCCCTCGCACTCCTTCCCAATCCATCTCTTATCCCTGTAACCCCCTCCCAGTCCCCCCAGTCGCTCCCAGTGCTCCCACTCCCCTCCCAGTGTCTCCCAGTCCCTCCAGTGCCTCCCACTCCCTTCCCTTCCCAGTCCCTTCCACTTCCCTCCAACTCCTTCCTGGTCCCTCCCAGTGTCTCCCATTCCCCTCCCAGTCTCTCCCAGTCCCTCCCAGTGCTCCCAGTGACCCCGTTATCCATGTCCCAGGCCATGCGTCTCCAGCTGCTGACAGCCCTGGCCACGGTTGCAGGCACTGCCTGTTCCCTGCTGGCCGAGAGCTCCCAGTGCTCCCAGTACCCGATTATCCCTCTCCCAGTCCCTCCCAGTGCTCCCAGGGACCCCATTATCCCTGTCCCAGCTGATGTGTCTCCAACTGGTGATGGCGCTGGTGCCGCCTGTTCCCTGCTGGCTGAGGGCTCCCAGTGCTCCCAGTCCCTCCCAATCCATCTCTTATCCCAGTAACCCCCTCCCAGTCCCTCCCAGTACCCCATTATCCCTCTCCCAGTGCTCCCAGTGCTCCCAGTGACCCCGATATCCCCTCGCAGGTGATGTGTCTCCAGCTGGTGACGGCCCTGGCCGCAGTTGCCGGTGCCGCCTGTTCCCTGCTCCCAGTCCCTCCCAATCCTTCCCAATCCATCTCTTACCCCTGTAACCCCCTCCCAGTCCCTCCCAGTGCTCCCAGTGACCCCGTTATCCGTGTCCCAGGCCATGTGTCTGCAGCTGGTCACCGCCCTGGCCGCCTGTTCCTTGCTGGCCGAGGGCTCCAGGGCAGCCGTGGGCTCCGGGATCCACAATTCCCGGCTTGGGACCCCAAAATCCTCCTTGATTGCCACCCCAAAGCCCCCTATTCCCAACTCCCTGGATCCCGGTGTTCCCATGGGATCAGCTGGGATCATTTCCTTGGGAATGGGATCCACAATTCCCAGCTTGGGATTCCAAAATCCTCCCTGATTCCCACCCCAAATCCCTGTTCCCGACCCCGCTGAATCTCAGTGTTTCCGTGGTATCATCCCAGTGTTCCCATGGGATCATCCTCTTAGGAATGGGATCCACAATTCCCCAAATCGTCCCTGAATCCCATCCTAAAACCCCCCATTCCTGACCCCCTGGATCCCGGTGTTCCCATGGGATCATCTGGAATCATCCCGGTATTCCCATGGAATCATCCCCTTGGGAATGGGATCCACAATTCCCAAATTGAGACCCCAAAATCCTCCTTGATTACCACCCCAAACACCTCCTTCTGGCCTCTTTTTCCATGCCATATCCCAGTTTTCCCAAGGGATCATCTTGGTTTTTCCATGGTATCATCCCCTTGGGAACAGGATCCACAATTCCCAACCTTCACACACACACACACACACAATTTGGGACCAGAAACGCGGCCTCACCTCCCTCCCAAAATCTGGCATGTGGGGGCTGGGTCGCCCCAAGAAGTTGGGGTGGGATCCACACGTGCAGAATTCACGGAATTCCAGGAGAATTTTGGGAATTTCTGGGGTGTTTTTTTTTCTTAATATTGTTATTCAGGGTTGTAGCAAACCATGGGGTTGGTGGATTAAAATGGAAATATTTGGACGAGCCCAGAAGGTGAAATCCAGGACTTGGCGATGCCACGAGGGGATTCAGGTGTTTACGGGAGGGGAAAAATCAGGAAAAAGGGGGAAAAAACTCGGAGAAAGCCGAAAAACTCCGGTTGGAGGACTGACCATAGAGTTGGTGCGGGCAGAGCGGCGTGGCGTGCGTGCCTCCGTCTCGGTGTTCACTTCCGGCGCCGCCATGTTGGGGAGGTCGGCGGGGCGACTGGCGGGGGTCGTGGCGCTGGTCACGGGTGGGTTTTGGGGGGATTTGGGGGAGTTTTGTGGTGTTTTGGGGGCGAGAGGGAAGGGGAGACCCCCAGGGGAGGAGTGGGGGGGACTTAGGGCGGGGAGACCCCCGGGAGGGACGCTGGGAGGGGTTAAAGGTGACACTGGTGATACTAGGAGGGTCACTGGTGATACTGGGATGGTCACAGACCCCTCTGGTGACACTGGGGGAGGTCACTGGTGACAGTAGACCCCACTGGTGACACTGGGAGGAAGCATCGAGGACATCCCAAAGGCGAAACCAGTCCCGCCAGCAACGTCGGACCCCAAATTAATGCAGCCAATCTAGAAGTTGCCGTGACAGGAGTCGTGTGGCAGCCCCAAGTGATGGGAGATGAACCCCCAGCCAGGAAGCATCAAGAACATCACACACGTGAAACTGGTTCTGTCAGCAACATACCATATCCCTTTATCAAATCCCTTCAATAAATGTATAGGACTGCTTTTTAAAATATTTTTGCGCATTTGCAAAATTATGCAAGTGGTACTTTCGATGTTGTAGAGTTTAGTAGATTCTTTCATCCTAATGTTTCACCTGACACATTGGAGGCTATTGCAAAGCCCAAGGCTTAGTAGTATCTTTGTGCAGGTTTCCCTTTCATCCCCCTTGGATTTTGGCACACCTTTCCTTTCCTTCCTATTCTATGGTTTCCCCTTGGTGTTGCAAAGGAGACGTCTGGAATGTTTTGCAATCCAGCGGTGCCACCGCCTTGATGCACTGAAGGCAGGGAAGCACTGGCGCGGTGTTGGCAGCCCCGTCCTGTCCCTGCTGCCAGCGGCCCGGGGGCAGGAGCACCTTGGCGGTGCCATGGCGGGGTTCCCCTCAGGTGTGGGCAGCCGCAGCCCGGCTGTGCGGGCGGCCCCGGCAGTGCCATGGCGGGGTTCCCCTCAGGTGCGGGCAGGAATGGCTGCCTGGCTCCAAACTGCCCGCCAGGAGTGCGCTGGGATCGCAGGGGGAGCTCTGCCCAGGGCAGCCCCCGCACTCAGTCACCCCGAGCCTTCCCGCCCTCCCCGCACACGGCCGGCACTTTGGGAACGGCCGCAGTCGGCGCTGGAGTGGCGGCGCTCGGGCACAAGGGAGCGCCGCGAGCCCGGGAAAGTGTCGGGAACATTCTGGCACCGAGGGGAGCGTGGGTGTGGAACTTGGGCACCGAAATGATCGTGGGCCCGAGCGGGGGAAGGTCCCGGGCAGCAGAGCGCAGGAGAGGACGGCGAGCGGCGAGTGCCGCTGGTTGTGCTTCGCTGCCCTGGAGGCAAAAACTGCACCGTGCGCCATCCAGAGATTTCCCATCGACCTTTCCCAAAACCTGCCGAGTGGGACAGGACATCAGAGCTGCACCCTGCCCAGACCCCAGGAAAGAAACTCCATCCCTTCCAACCAGCTCAGGGAAAAACATCCAGCTCCCAGCAGCTCCACAGAGGCTCCAGCACAGGAGCCTTGTCCCCCAGGCACATCTGTGGACTGTGCCCTACCCAGAGCCCTGGGGCTGCCTGTGGAAGCCCCGAGGCTGCGGGATTTGCAAGGGGTGGCCTTTAAAGGGCTCTCCCAACCCCAAGCCTTCTAGCCTTCTACGGCTCTAATCTGCGCTGTAGTGTGGTACTTACACAAGGGGCAGCTATGTCCTGTGCTGGTTTAAAATCTGCCTGCCAGCCTGAATTCAGGCAGCGAGACAAAGACCCAGCTACCGGATTTTTTTGCTATTTACTAGGTGCCTCTGCGCCCAACGCTTGAACCTGCCCAGGACTTGCTGGATGGCAGCAGAGCCTTGTGGTGCCTCACCCACTCCTCCCAGTCCCATACCATCAGCAAACGTGCTGAGGGTGCTCTCCGTCCCTTCTGCCAGGTCACTGAGCAACCGGTCAAACGAGGCTGGCCCCAGCACTGAGCCCCGCGCTCACAACCCTATGAGCTCTGCCATTCAACCAGGTCTCAACCCCCTCAGTGTCCACTCATCTAAGCCACACTTCCTGAGCTGTCTGTGAGGGTGTTCTGGGAGGCAGGGTCAAAAGCCTTGCTGAAGTCACAGCAGACAACAGGCACTGCTCTCCCCTCATCTAGCCAGTCAATCGCTCCAGCACAGAAGGCTAGGAGACTGGTCAAGCATGATTTTCCCTTCCTTTTATTCCACAGGCTTAGAGATGACATGCAGCATGAGCTGTTCTGTCCCCTTTCTGGGGATGGAGGTGACCGTATTGGACCTGTCATTTCCTGGGTCCATCTTGCTGCCCTTTTTGAAGACTGGAGTGATGTCGGCTTTCCTGCAGTCCTCAGGCACCTCAGCTGGGGAATCAGCATCCCTGATGTGCTGGCAGAGTTCCCTGTGCCAGGGGCAGGAGCAGAGATTTGCCTTGGCCAGGGCCAGAGCCCTGGAGTGGCACTGCCTGAACAGCACTTTTCGTGCAACAGAGGCTGCCCAACAGTCCTCGGTGGCTGCCCCAGGGCCTGGCATTTGACCCTGCGCTTGCTGCAGCAGCAGCCGCCCCGGCTCTGTGGTTACCGAGGGCTCGGGACCCACCTCGGAACCTTGGTTGCCAAGGGGCCGCCTCACACTGGGTGGGGGGGGCTGGGGCCATCCCTGCAGGGTGCTGAGGTCACAGTGGTCACTGTGACCCATGGAGCCAAGGGCACAAAACGGGACTCTGGGCTCGGGCCCAGTGTCAGTGTTACCTGACAACGAGAGGAGAAGGAAGAGGAGGGACAGCGCTGCCCAGGGAGAGCCTCACAGCTTGGGGCTCTTGGCCTGTGCTGCAGCTACAGCCACCTCACCCTTCTCAGAATCAGTGAAGGAGCATTTCGACGAGACTACAGTGGATTGGACAAAAGGAGGAGAAGGCGGACAGAGACAGGAGTCAGGGGCAGTAGGGGGACCCTAGCCCCCCGGGCTCTGCCCCTCTGTTGCAAACGCCTCTCGCTTCTTTTGCACAAACAGTGTAGGAGCACCTGGAGGAGACCTCGGTGTTCCAAGGACAGGGACTCCCTGCTGACAGTCACCATGTCACACAGGGAGGAGCAGGCCCCCAGAGGGAGGGAGCCAGGTGAGAGCAAAGTGTCCCTCCTGCAGCCTGGCAGAGGGGCTGTCAGGGTGGGCAGCACAGGTGCCATGCCCGGGGCCATTGTCTCTCTCCCCTCCAGCATGCCTGCTGTGTCAGCGATCAGAGGCTGACCTGGACATCTGTGGGGAAAAACTCTTCATACATGGGCTCTGTGTCCACGAGTTCTGCCTGGTGAGTTGCTCTGTGGGCTCCCTCCACTTTTTGACAGGCAGTCCCTGCCACTCTCTCCTCATCAGTGAGTTTCATTTTCCTGCAGTTTTTTGCCAGCAACTTTCCTGACCGCCCGGTTCATCGAGGAGGACTCTGGTGTCTTCCCTCATGGGAGATCCGAGCTGTAGTCTCCCTGGCGGCACAGCAGGTGAGACTCTGACAAGAGCAGGGAGATTTGTGCCAGGCAGGGTTTGCTGGAGCTTAACCCAGAGCCCAAGCAAGAAAGCCCAGCCCTTCCAACCAGCTCTGGGAGAAGGAGGAGGCCCTGAGGCTCCTGCTGATGGGGCTGCTCTGCTCTTTCCAGAGGTGCTGCATCTGTGGCCAGAGCGGGGCCACCATTTCCTGCTGTGAAACAGGCTGTGAGCTGAGCTTCCACCTGCCCTGTGCCAACCAGGGAGGCTGTGTCACCCAGTTCTGCAGACCATTCAGGTACCTCCTGTCCCCTCCTCACCACCACCAGGGAAGGGCCCAGCACTTCTCACCTCACCCACCCCTTTTCCCCCCAGGGCCTTCTGCCCTGCACACAGCCCAGAGCAGGCAGTGGAGGCGACTCCAGAGCCGGGCACCCAATGCCTCATCTGTTTGGAGCCTGTGGAGGACAGAAAGACCTTCAACACCCTGGTGTGCCCAGCCTGCAGAACCGCCTGGTTCCACAGGGACTGCATCCAAGTAGGAGTGGTTCTGTCACCCCGAGGGGCACAGCAGGGGCTCAGCAGCACCAGGGCCTCACTCTTGCTGCTTGTGTTTCTCCTGCAGGGACAGGCTCTGCATGCTGGTCGTTTCTCCTTCCAGTGCCCCCTCTGCAGAAATGATGAGTCATTTATAAGAGATATGCTCACCATGGGGATCCAAATCCCCTTGAGGTTGGTGTCCTTCTGCCTGGCTCCCAACACAGGGGGTGCAAGTGCTGTGCCGTGCCAGGGCCTGCCCCAGCAGTCCTGGCCCTGCCCTGTTCTGTGAGTCCCGGGTTCAGCTTCCCGCAGGAGCTAGAAATGGCACAGGGGGAAGGGCAGGGACACCCTGCACCTGCCTGATGCCAGGGCAGAGGGAGCTCATCAGTTTTCCTTTTCCCATCAGACCACCATCATGGGAGGTCTTTAATGCATTCGATGAGATGGGAGACAGACACAGGCACTGCGATGCCAGTGAGTGCCTTTTTCCAGGAGGCAGGCACGAGGCAGAGGAGGAGGGGTAAGTTGCCAAAGCTGCACTCCAGGGCTCTGCAGGGCTTGAAGCAGAAGGACCCAGGAGAAGAGCTCAGCCAGATAATCCCACGCTTTGGACACTTTGTCCTCACCTCCATGAACCCGTTTGCTTCCCCAGGCCCTGGCAATTGCTGCTGTGCTCCTCCTGTGCTGCCGAGGGCACTCACAGACACTGCTCTGGCCTGAGGAACAGCATAACCAGCTGGGAATGTGATGGCTGTGCTGGTCTGGGCACAGGTAACAGGCAATGCACCCTGGTGACAGGCAGTGTGTGCCCAGGGTGGGTTTGGCTGAGCCTGTCTGCTCCAGGAGGGCTGGAGGCACTGCTCTGGCCTATTCTGCCCCAGGTCTGGGGTGGCCTTGACATTCCTGCTTCCCCTCACAGGCTCCCGAGATGAGTCAGAGCTTGCTGGAGTCAGCGTGGCCAGACAGTCAGGATTGGAACCTTCTGATGGCTCCAGGGAACCCGAGACCATCAGCCCCAACACAGGCAGCCTGGTGCTGTCAGGGCTGTCTCCCAGTTCTCCAGCACTGGACACCATCAACCCCAGCACCAGCGTCCAGGTGCCATCCCCTGGATCTTCAGCACCACAGACCAGCAACCACTGTACCAACCCTCAGGCAACATCGGAGCAGTCTCTGCAATCTCCCTCACAGGAGACGAGCAGCTCCAGCTCTGACAGTCAGGTAACATCAGGGTCATCCCAGAGCAGCTTCACAGCAACTGAGGACAGCAGCTGCTCCAGCAGTCGGGGGCCTGACCACCAGCAAAACCACCCCCGTCGGCAACATTGGGCCCAAAATCCACGCCTTCGGTCCAGAAGTCCCCTGGACAGGACCCATGTGCCAGCACCAAGTCCTGGGAGGCGCAGGCCCAGGCAGAGACCATCAGGGACATCCCACAGGCGAAACCGCTCCAGCCTGCAACGTCAGACCCCAAATCCATCCGTCCGGTCCAGAAGCCGCCGTGACAGGAGCCACGTGAGAGCACCCAGTGCTGGGAGGAGCAGCCGCAGCCACGACACATCCAGAACATCCCACACACAAAATCACTCCCGCCAACAACATCAGGCCCCAGATCCATCCAGCCGGTCCAGAAGTCGCCGTGACAGAAACTGTGTGAGAGCACCAAGTGCTGGGAGCCGCATCCCCAGCCAGGAAGCATCAGGGACATCCCGCAGGCGAAACCGCTCCCGCCTGCAACGTCCGAGCCCAAATCCATCCGGCCGGTCCAGAAGTCCCCATGACAGGAACTGCACACCAGCACCGAGTGCTGGGAGGCGAAACCCAAGGGAGACAGCAGCCAGGACTTCCCAAAGGCAGCACCACTCCCGCCAGCAGCGTCGGACGCCGAACTCATCCAGCAGATCCAGAAGTCGCCGTGACAGGAGCCGTGTTAGAGCACCAGGTGCTGCCAGGCGCACTCACCGGTGGGACGGTGAGACAGGGACCCACCGCTGACACATCCCATGTCAGACAGGGAGGAGCAGGCCCCCAAAGGGAGAGAGCCAGGTGAGAACAAAGTGCCCCTCCCGCAGCCTGGCAGAGGGGCTGTCAGGGTGGGCAGCACAGGTGCCATGCCCGGGGCCATTGTCTCTCTCCCTCCAGCATGCCTGCTGTGTCAGCGATCAGAGGCTGACCTGGACATCTGCGGGGAGAAAATGCAGAAACATGGGCTCTGTGTCCACGAGTTCTGCCTGGTGAGTTGCTCTCTGGGCTCCCTCCACTTTTTGACAGGCAGTCCCTGCCACTCTCTCCTCATCAGTGCGTGTCCTTTTCCTGCAGTATTTTGCCAGCATCCTTGATCAGCAAGGGAATGAACGAGTAGGACTTCAGGGCTTTCTCCCAAGGGATATCCTACATGCAGTCAAACGAGCGGCACAGACGGTGAGAGCCTGACAAGAGCAGGGAAATCTGTGCCAGGCGGGGTTTGCTGGAGCTTAGCCCAGATCCCAAGCAAGGAAGCCCAGCCCTTCCAACCAGCTCTGGGACAAGGAGGAGGCCCTGAGGCTGCTGCTGATGGGGCTGCTCTGCTCTTTCCAGAGCTGCTGCATCTGTGGCCAGAGTGGGGCCACCATCTCCTGCTGTGAAACAGATTGTGACCTGAGCTTCCACCTGCCCTGTGCCAAGCAGGGAGGCTGTGTCACCCAGTTCATTCCACCGTACAGGTACCTCCTGTCCCCTCCTTGCCACCACCAGGGAAGGGCCCAGCACTTCTCAGCTCACCCACCCCTTTTCCCTCCAGGACCTACTGCCCCGCACACAGCCCAGAGCAGGCAGTGGAGGTGACTCCAGAGCCGGGCACTGAATGCCTCATCTGCATGGAGCCTGTGGAGGACAGAAAGACATTCAGCACCCTGGTGTGCCCAGCCTGTAAAACCACCTGGTTCCACAGGGACTGCATCCAAGTAGGAGTGGTTCTGTCACCCCCACAGGCACAGCAGGGGCTCAGCAGCACCAGGGCCTCACTCTCACTACTTGTGTTTGTCCTGCAGGGACAGGCTCTGCGCTCTGGTATTTTATCCTTCCAGTGCCCCATCTGCAGAAGCACTCAGGAATTTCTCGTGGAGATGTTTCTCATGGGGATCCGAATCCCCTTCAGGTTGGTGTCCTTCTGCCTGGCTCACAACACAGGGGGTGCAAGTGCTGTGCCGTGCCAGGGCCTGCCCCAGCAGTCCTGGCCCTGCCCTGTTCTGTGAGTCCCGGGTTCAGCTTCCCGCAGGAGCTAGAAATGGCACAGGGGGAAGGGCAGGGACACCCTGCACCTGCCTGATGCCAGGGCAGAGGGAGCTCATCAGTTTTCCTTTTCCCATCAGACCACCATCATGGGAGGTCTTTAATGCATTCGATGAGATGGGAGACAGACACAGGCACTGCGATGCCAGTGAGTGCCTTTTTCCAGGAGGCAGGCACGAGGCAGAGGAGGAGGGGTAAGTTGCCAAAGCTGCACCCCAGGGCTCTGCAGGGCTTGAAGCAGAAGGACCCAGGAGAAGAGCTCAGCCAGATAATCCCACGCTTTGGACACTTTGTCCTCACCTCCATGAACCCGTTTGCTTCCCCAGGCCCTGGCAATTGCTCTGGTGCTCCTCCTGTGCTGCCGAGGGCACTCACAGACACTACTCTGGCCTGAGGAACAGCATAACCAGCTGGGAATGTGATGGCTGTGCTGGTCTGGGCACCCTGGTGCCCCTGGGCCCAGTGCCCCTGGGCCTGGCAACCGGTGTCCAGGGTTGGCTTGGCTGAGCTTGTCTGCTCCAGGAGGGCTGGAGGCACTGCTCTGGCCTATCTTGTCCCAGGCCTGGAGCGATTTTGGGGTCCCAAGCTGAGAATTGTGGATCCCATTCCCAAGGGACGCTCCTACCAGAATACTGGGACACTCCCACTGGAACACCGGGATCCAGAGGGTCGGGAAGGAGGGATTTTCCCGGGATTCCCCCCTACTCGTGGTGGGCGATGAGCAGCATCATGGCCATGCCTGCCAGCAGCTGCAGCAGCGCCGGCCCCGGGCCAGAATTCCGCAGGATCTCGGGAATGACGGACACGGTGCCCAGGGAGATGAAGCCGCCGGCGGTGAAGGGAAGGATCCCGGAGCCCATGGCCGCCCCGGAGCCCTCGGCCAGCAGGGAACAGGCGGAACGGCAACCGCCGTCACCAGGGCCGTCACCAGCTGGAGATACATCACCTGCGAGGGGATAACGGGGTCACTGCGAGCACTGGGAGGGACTGGGAGGGACTGGAAGAGGGTAATAGGGTCACTGGGAGCACTGGGAGGGATTGGGAAGGGAATGAGGGACACTGGAGGAAGTGGGAGGGACTGGGAAGGAGTTGGAGGGAAGCGGAAGGGACTGGGAAGAGAAGGGAATGGGAGGCATTGGAGGGACTGGGAGCACTGGGAGGGACTGGGGGGACTGGGAGCCCTCGGCCAGCAGGGAACGGTCAGCGCCGGCAACCGTGGCCAGGGCGGTGACCAGCTGCAGACACATGGCCTGGGACACAGATAACGGGGTCACTGGGAGCACTGGGAGGGACTGGGAGGGGGTTACAGGGGTAAGAGATGGATTGGGAAGGATTGGGAGGGACTGGGAGCAGGGAACAGGCGGCACCGGCAACTGCGGCCAGGGCCGTCACCAGCTGGAGACACATCACCTGCGAGGGGATATCGGGGTCACTGGGAGCACTGGGAGCACTGGGAGAGGGATAATGGGGTACTGGGAGGGACTGGGAGGGGGTTACTGGGATAAGAGATGGATTGGGAGGGACTGGGAGCACTGGGAGCCCTCAGCCAGCAGGGAACAGGCGGCACCAGCGCCATCACCAGCTGGAGACACATCAGCTGGGACAGGGATAATGGGGTCACTGGGAGCACTGGGAGGGACTGGGAGAGGGATAATCGGGTACTGGGAGTACTGGGAGCTCTCGGCCAGCAGGGAACAGGCAGTGCCGGCAACCGTGGCCAGGGCTGTCAGCAGCTGGAGACACATGGCCTGGGACATGGATAACGGGGTCACTGGGAGCACTGGGAGGGACTGGGAGAGACTGGGAGGGGAATGGGGGACACTGGGAGAGACCGGGAAGGAGTTGGAGGGAAGTGGAAGGGACTGGGAAGGGAAGGGAGTGGGAGGCACTGGAGGGACTGGGAGGCACCGGGAGGGGAGTGGGAGCACTGGGAGCGACTGGGGGGACTGGGAGGGGGTTACAGGGATAAGAGATGGATTGGGAAGGAGTGCGAGGGACTGGTGGGACTGAGAGCAGGGAACAGGCGGCGCCGGCAACCACGGCCAGAGCGGTGACCAAGTGGAGACACATCAGCTGGGAGGGGATAACGGGGTCACTGGGAGCACTGGGGGGGACTGGGAGGGAGTTGCTGCAAGAAGAGATTGATTGGGAAGGACTGGGAAGGACTGGGAGCACTGGGATCCCTCGGCCAGCAGGGAACAGGTGGTGCCTGTGGATTGGTTTGGTTTAGAGGTTGTGCTTTGCTTTGCTTTAACAACAATTTTGACAGCGTTTGAAGTGTGTTTTTGCAGCCAGACCCTGTCCCTGACCACCATGAACCTTTAACCTGTGCCAATTTGTATTAATAAAGAGTGTTATTCTGCAGACTGTTGGAGGGAGTCATTTATAAAGGTGCTGCCAGTTTTGTTGATGCTGGAGTAACTGGTGGAAATATTCACTGAGGGGTTTCCCTTTTGCTGTGACGTGTCAGTGCCTGAAAAAGGGCCCTGGAATTCCCCCCACCTGGTGGATCTGTTTGGTGGAGGGTTCCTGGGTGGAATATGGGACAGACTCGATGGGACTGACAGGGTTTTGTTTTTCCCTGGGGCACCAGCAGACAAACAAATCTCCAAGAGTCGGGTGAATTCCCCTTCCCCCCGTTTCCCGGCACACACGGGAATCTGCTGAGGTTGGACAAGACCAAGGTGGTGCAGCCGGGTCAGGGCAACCCCTGGGATCGGTGCAGGCTGGGGGAGGAAGAGATGGAAGAACCTGCTGGGAGAGGGCTCTGGGGGTGCTGGTGGGTGACAAATGGGACACGAGCCAGCCCTCTGCCCAGAGCTGGAGGCAGCACTGCAGGTGGGGTCTCAGCTGAGCGGAGCAGAGGGGCAGAACCCCCCTCCCCTGCTGCCCACGCTGTGGGATGAGCCCAGGACACGGGGGGTTGTGGGCTGTGAGCTGCCATTGCTGGCTCCCATCCTGCTTTTCATCCCCCACTGTCCCCGTGGCCTTGGATGCAGGGCTGCTCTCCATCCCTTCAGCCCCGAGCCTGGCCCTTGAGATCTGGGGGCATTTGACACCCGCTGGCTCCTTTGATCCCCTTTCCCATCCCTCCTAGAGCACAGGGAAGGACTGAGGGGCCTTGGCTGATTGTCCCTGACCCTCCCCTGCCCCGACACCAAGCTGTGCTCCTTGGGGACGGTGCTTGGACAGCCCCAGTCAGACCCTGTTTCCCGCTGTGCCCCCAAACTGTGCCAGCAGTGCCAGGGCCTGTCCCTGCCTGTGATCCCAGCACGGACACGCAGCAGGACTGTGACCAAGCTGCCGGAGCACTCAGGCCTTGCACCCACAGCAGGGCTGGCAAGGAGAATGTGGAGCTGCAAAGAGCAGCTGTGGAAAGAGCAGGAGCCCTTGGCCCTGGCCCTGCTGCTGGGCTGGGAATCTCTTCCCTCCTCCTCTGCACAAAGGCACTGCCCCTGCAGCTCCACAGAAGGGCTGAGGAAGCATCTTGGACACACAAGTCAGTGCAGGGCACTTGATTTTCTTGAAATACACAGTGATCGTGGCACCTCAGTGTGTCTGTGCACAGCAATGGTAGGTACTGGTGTAGCAATAGATGACTAATGACATTCCTTTATGGAAAACAGTAACACAAGTGAAGAAAAAAAAGGAATGCAAATATAAAATACACCAATACAAGAACAAAATGGACACGTGGCACAAAGCAGTCTGACATCCTGGATGCTGTGAAGAAGAAAAAAGGCACTTCAATGCTTCTGAAAAGCATCCAGTCATTTTCCTCCAGGCACCCTTGAGGTCCTGGTTCCTCCTGGGGGGGTTCAGTGCTGGAGGCACCACCAAGTCCAGAACTGACCTCAGCAGTTCCAGCAGCAGGGAGGAGATGGAGGGGGGCTTCAGGTGGGCAAACCTGACAGTGCTGACAAACAGGGAGACCACAGCCAGGTGAGGCAGGCCCGTGGAAAAGGCTCTAAAAAACCCTCCCCGAAGTTCACTCCCTCTGCTCTCTGCACTTTGGGGTTCTGGGGGTCCCCCCGTTCAGGCTCTTGGAGGTCCCTCGTGTTTTGGGGGCCCCCTCTCCGGGGTTCTGCCTTTTCCCGGCTGCTGGAGATGCCGGGAATCCCAGGGGTCTCCCCTCTCGGAGCCCCCTCTTCCAGGAGCCGGGGGTCCCCGGCCCCCCCACCCCTCTGGGCTCCCCCTCTCCGCGCTTCCCCTCCCGCCCCCCCAGGCTGCCGGGGGTCCCCCAGCTCCGCTGTCGCCCCTCTCTGCTCTCCCCACTCCGGGGGCCCTAAAAAAGGGGCTCGTCGCGTCCCCCCCCGCCGGCACCGGGCTGACAATGGGGGCGGCGGGGCCTGACCCCGCAACACCGACCCCCACCGCGGGGGGTCCCCGCATCCCCCCGCCCACCTCCCGCCTCTGCCGGGAACCCACCCCGGGATCCCCCCCAACAAAACCAAAACACCTCCCGGGGACCCCCCGAGGTCCCCCCGAGGGCCATTTGCGGCTCAGCCCCAAACATCCCCCCCAAAACCCCCCGCACACCCCCAACCCATCGCAGCCGAGCTCCCCCTCCCCGCCCACTCAGGGGGGCGATGCTCCTCCTCTTCCTCCTCCTTTGCCTCTGCCCGCTCCTCCTCCCCCCGCTCCATCCCCGAGCCGGGAGCTCGAGGTGAGTTGGGGGGCCCCGATGGCAAAGGGGCAGAGGGGAAGGAGAAGAGGGGCTGGGAGCCCCAAAGTGAGCGAGAGAGGGGGTGGGTCACTGCCAAAGCAGCGGGGGGCGACGGGCAAAGGGGGGGAGAGGGGAAGAAGGGGAGGTGGGAGAGCGGCAAAGGGGTTCCCGTGGGGGTCCCTTCGTGTCCCCACAGCTCGATCCCTGGAGAGGAGGGACCCCCGGGCCCCAGCGGCTGATGGGGGCCGGGATGTTTGTTGGGAATTCCCGGCAGGCCGAACAAAGGCCCCGGCCACGCGTCGGGAACTCTTTGATTGTCCCCAACAGTGGCGGGAGTTCCCCAATTCCCGCCCCCCAAAGTGGGGAGATGGGAGAGGGGGAAGCCTGGGAGGGTTTTTGGGGTGAGTGTTGGGGCTGTCGGGGGGCAGAGTGCTGGGGAAGGGGGTTTTGGGGGATGCCAGGGCCGAGGAAAGGGGAGTGCGGGGCTCTGGAGAGGTGGGATGGGGGGTCCGGGGAGATCCCCTGGCCAGGGGTCGGCGGTGTGGGGGAAAGGGAGGTGCTGGGGGTTGGGAGAATGGCCAGAACCCGGGGTTCAGGGGGTCCCCCCGTGTTCCAAAGAAAAGGGTCCTGTGGGTTGTGGAAAAGGCAGGCCTGGGGGTGCAGGGGGTAGCAGCGTGAAGGAAAAGCAGGGCCTGGGGGCTGGGAGAGGCGGGCTGGGCGGGAAAGGGGGTTGCAGGGGGGTCTTAGTGCAGAATAAGGGGGTGCCAGGGGGTTCCTGTGGCCAGGAACGGGGGTTTGGGGGTGTCCCAGAGGGAAGGCAAAAGGGGGGCTGTAGGGACTGGGAGAGGAGGCCCAGGGGGTCTCTTGGGTCCTTGTGTCCAGGAAAGGAGGGTGCAGGGGCCTCCAGTGTGAGGGAAAGGGGGTTCAGTGGGTGGGGAGAGCCGGGATGTGCAGGAAGGGCAGTTCAGGGGGTGCCGGGTGTTGAGGAAAGGAGGGGTTGGGGAGTGGGAAAGGCAGGAGTGGGGGTGGAGGGGGTGGCAGGGTGAAGGAGAAGGGAGGGTGTGGGGACTTGGTGAGGTGGGATGGCTGGGAAAGGGGTTGCAGGGGGGTCCTGGAGCTGAGGAAGGGGGTGAGAGTCCCAGTGGTGGAGAGGAAGTGCAGGGGGGTCCTGATGGGCAGGAATGGGGGTCCAGGGAGTGGCAGGGTAAAGGAAAAGGGAGTCTGGGAGAGGCAGGATGGCCGGGAAAGGGGGTGCAGGGGGTTCTGTAGCCAGGGAATTGGGTGCAGGGGGTCCTGGTCTGGATAAGGGGGTGCAGGGGGGATCTGGTGTCAAGGAATGAGGCGTTCAGGGGGTCCCTGGGCCACTCCAGGAGCACCCTGCAGGATA